TTCACACCCCACCCCCACCACCATCCCATCCCAACAAAGGCGACCTCACCTATGTCCTTCACCTCCCTGCAGGTCTCCTCTCTCCTAAGTCCCCTGGCAGCTCAGACAACCACTATGACAGACACTTGTTTTGAATTACCCTGCTTGGTGGTTATACAACTGTATATTATGCTTGGAAATCACAAACAATGAATGACACAATGAATCTTTTTGCAGGATTTGTTGTGCCCATTTGCAGGAACTTCTCTAAAAGTCTACTCCCAGCAGTGGATTTGCAGGGTCAAGGACATAACCAACCACAACTTGATTGTATTAACAAATTACCCTCCCCCAAGGATTGAGACAATTTACACTCCCATTAGCCTTGTATCAAAGCTGCCATCTCCTCATACCTTTGCTAGCAGTTGCTCACTGAGGTATAATAAGAAATATATTTGGGTTTTGTCCAGGTTCCTGGCACAGAACTGCTAAAAGCTCTTGGAATTTCCTAAGTGATAGGAGCATCTTTTATTATTCATAAGGAGCCCCTTTCAATCACATCTATTTTTATACTAATGAGGTGACTTAAAGGGTGCTCCTGGATAGCTTCAGAATGGGGCTGGTCACAGAAGGAGCAAATAATTAGTGGGCTGGAACTTTCAGCACCCCCACCACCACCCTAACCTCCCAGAAAGGTGTTGGAGGGGGGCAGTCTGAAGATTAAACTCTCTAAAAACTCTTTAACAAGGAAATGTGATGAGTTTCCAGGCTGGTGAACACATCCAGGCAGTGGGAGGCTAATGCCAGCAGGACCCGGAGGGTCCATGTCACCCCCCACACCTTGCCCTATGCATCTCTTCCATTTGGCTATTCCTGAGTCCTTTATAATAAATCATAAACACAAGTAAAGTGTGTTTCTGAGTTCTGAACAGTTCTAGCAAATTATGGAAACTGAAGAGGGTCTCATGGGAACTCTCGATTTACAGCCAGTTGGTTAGAAAGTGGCCTGGGACTGAATTTCCAATTATAAAAAATAAATCTATAGTAGTTAGTTACTACTGTAGATTAGTAGTAGTTACTCTGAGCCTATAATAATAAAAGTATTTAAAGACTCATATCCATATAATCAGTTCATGACAATGGCTACCATTACTTAAAAAAAAAAAAAAAATAATGGTTACTCTCACCTCCTTGCAACATAGTGCCCTCAGTTACCTTTCTGTGTCCTTCTAGTCCTTCAGGAATCCTTATGATGTTGTCTGCATTTACAAAAGGAGAGGGGCTGGAGGCATAAAAACAGTATGAATGACCGGACACTAATTCCCCAAAGCTTTATATCAAATGCAGGTAGGAGCTAGTCCCTTACAGCCCACAACCACACCTCCTGCTGCTGAAATGCCCTGGGTGGTCCCCTCCCACACTGACTTTTGATGGCCCTGTGTGGCCAAAGCATGCAGAAGTGATGTTATGTGACTTCCTAAGCTAAGAACCCTTACAACTTTCACCTTGCTCTCTCATGACACTTGCTCCAGAGGAAGCTAACTGCCACGTAAGAATTCTAATTACCCAGGAACAAGTAGGCTGTGAAGAATCCCAGGATAGCCATGTGGAAGGTCATGTGGGGAAAACAAAAACAATGCCGGCCAGCTCTCAGCCCAGATGCCAGACATGTGAGTAAAGGAGCCATCTTGGACCACAAAGACTCAGCAGACACCACGTGGAGAAGAACTGAAAGCTCACACTTAGGGCCCTATTCAGGCCATGACAACATCTCCAGCCAACTGAGCCATTCCAGCTAAAGCTCCAGACACGATGGGTTTGAGACAAGCTGTGACCTGCCTAAATATGTGGCCCACAGAATCATGAGCACAATAAAATGGTTGTTCTTTCATGCCACTAAGTTTTGGGGTGGTTTGTTACACAGCAATAGATAACCAGAAAAATGCAAATATTATTGGTGACATTTATTAAAAAGATGAGTCCAACTTGGACTGCAGTTCTAAAGTGAATGGTATGATTCAGAGAGCCTTTGCTTGCGGCAGTGAGAAAGAAAGAATGCACCAGTTCATATTTCCTTGGAAAGCTTTTAAAATAAATCTGACCAACCTAACTAATTCTAAAAGCTCTTGAAAATACTAAGGGACCAATATATTATCATGAATCACACACTAGTTTGAAATATGGGTCTCCCGGCCTCAGCCTTCAGGTCATAGCACAAATGTCACTTGTTCCACAAGTCTTCGAGCCCCACGGCTTCCCACCCTCTGCTGTGGCCACCCACAGCAGCCTCTCCTCACCAGCCTTCATCCCAGCTCCACCGCGTGAGCCTGCATGGCCTGTTTACCTGCATGCTTCCCACACGAGATGGGGCTTTCACCACAGAGGGTAACAGTTAATACTTCTCTATATTGAGTTTACAGGTATTTTTCTTTCTTTTTGTCTGTAGTTTCTAAGTTTCCTATAACATGTAATCTTTTACAATAAGAAAAAAGAATACATTTTTAAGGATTTTGGTTTCCTAGGTCTGCTGTTAGACAGGTACAAGTCAAAAGATGTATGGCCATCCATTTCCTTACCTGAAAAACGGCAGGAACTGGAATAAGTGGTCTCTAAGACCCCTTCCAGATCTAAGATTCTGTAATTTTATGAAATAAACAGTTGAAAGAAATTGAAGGAAAAGAGACAAACTTCCATCTTCTATTTCCCACACACCCCGGAAGGACAGTAGGCACTCAACAAAGAACCAGTGACTGGGGGCACCTGGGTGACGCGGTCGGTTAAGTGTTCGACTCTTGGTCTCGGCTCAGGTGATGATCTCAGGGTCCTGAGATGGAGCCATGCGTCAGGCTCTGCACTCAGCACGGGGTCTGCTTACGTTTCTCTCTCCCTCTGCCCCTCCCCGCCCCCATGAACACAAGCGCCCACTCTTTCTCTCCCTCTCTCAAATGAATAAATCTTTTAAAAAAAAAATCTAGTGACTGGTTTTCTGACTGATCAGTGAGGCAGTAGAGTTAACTCAAGTACTGCATGCAGGTAAGCTTAACATCTACTGCTTATACTAGGAAAAAGTCCAAATCGAGTACCAGGAGAACTACTTCTAAAAATAGTCCTGTCCCTATCTCAAGCCTTCTGGCCTCAAGTTGCTTTACAAACGCTAGACCTCACTTTCTCAATCTATCAAATGTGAGAATTATGCCCTCAACTCCTATCCCAAAATAGTATGGATCAATAAGTGACGAAAAAGCAGTGTGCTATCGGCATCTTCTCAGTTTTCCCAGCTCGAAGCGAAACCGTATTAACTAACATTGATTCAGTAGATGCTACTTCAGCAACACCTGTTTTGGATGAGGAACTTCTACAGACATCTCTGAGAAAATGAATAAAGACTGATTTTAAAGATGATAAACTGCACTGGAAAGCTATTAAGTTTCTGAGGGGGTAGTAAGTACAGGTCACAGGTGAACATCCTAGTGTAAATAAAGCAAAAAACCGGGGGCGTGGCTGGCTCAGTCAGTAGAACATGTGACTCTTGATCTTGGGATTGTAAATTCGAGCCCTATTGGGTAGAGATTACATAAAAATAAAAAAATCCTGGGGCGCCTGGGTGGCTTGGTTGGTTAAGCACCTGACTCCTGATTTTGGCTCAGGTCATGACCTCAGGATAGTGGGATCAGGCCCCACATCGGCTCCACACTCAGCATGGAGTCTGCTTGTCCCTCTCCATCTGCTCCTCCTGCCACCCGTGTGCACACACTCTCTCTCCCTCTAAAATAAATAAAATCTTTAAAATATTTTTGTAAATACTTATTTTAAAAATAATTAATTAATTTGAAAATTTTAAAACTCCTTAAAATAAAAAAAGAAAGCAAAAAATCACCTTCCCAGTGGAAAAGAAAGACTATTACTGCTTAGGAATTCTTCCTGGGGCAAGATTTCACCCAAGCAAATAAATACAACAAAATCTGTTTCTCTTGCCTGCCTTCTTTCTTGAGGAAGGGCTCCAACAGGGACACAGAGTGAACTTGCCACCTTACAACCACAAGAGGTCAACGTGTGGAAGATACGTGTGGGAAGGGGAATCTGGCCAAACAGAAAGGAAGAACACAGGCCAAAGAAAGGGAGAAATGGGCATGAACTTGATGTCAGTAAGGGACAGCATGTGATAGGGGAAATTTCTCCGATAAAATAAAGAATAAAATCTATACTTTGTGCAGCAAGAGACGAATGAATTCCAAAAAGCTATGAGATCAGTTTTAGGACAAGTGGCTTGCTGAAATTAATAGCAGAATTCTAAAACCATAAGGCTTCAGTGACCTGAGGATCTAAGCCAGAAAGCAGGGAACAAGGAGGCAGCAGGTCAGCACGATTTGATTTATCTACCTCAGGAAAGAACAGCTGTGACATGCTGGAGGAAGTATGAAACGAAAACAGAAAACACTCCCAGCTTCTAGGAACAGAACATTATCTGGGCTCTGAGATTCCAAACAAAGAGAAAAGTAGAACAGAAGTTCTGTCCGTCGTGACTGGGTGTGAGGTACCATCCACGCACTGTGCTTTAGCAAGGAGGTGGGCTGTACACACTTAGGGCAGCACCAGGGTCACTGACAGAGAGCACAGGGCACAGACTGGTTAGGGAAGCCTGGCTCCGCTGCTCCCAAACTGCCCACTACATCATGTCCGGAAGCAAAAGCTAGGGATTCAAAGAATAAAAAAAGCCACCTCGCTCATATACCAGCAGCCATCTTAGATGAGTGCACGGATTCATGCACACTTGGCCTCTTCTACTCACCAAAAGAAATACAAATGCTTCACACCATCGGCTTTAACAATTACTCAGGACAAACCTTTCTATCTCTGGAGAATTATTTTCTCCTTTATTAACAATACTGCTGATGGTAATTCAAAAATTAAGAAATGAAATTTAAAAGCAGCATTAAAATCAAATATAAGATAAAAGGAAAAACATTATCGTAGAAAGGATTACCCACATCATGTATCAAAAGTGCCAGTACCAGACTCACCTTTCAAACCAGATCGACTGGCAGGCCTCCCTACACTATTCCTCTGGTGCTTGGCAGACATGCGTTTCATCTGCCGAGGTGTGCTGGGGGGAGAGGTGCCATAAAGGTTCTCCGTATTGGTTTCATCTGAAAAGTCCTCTGGATCAGACTCAGAATTCTTGCAAGCTGAATCTCCCAATGTGCGCTCTTGCCTATGAAAGACAGAAAGCAAAGAAAATACTCAGGAACGTATTAAGTGACCTCAAATTTAAACTACTTGAAGCTTCTTTTAAGAACTCTTTGTAAAACTTTTCTATGACTACGTCCCCTCCTCAGCAATGCGGTCTTTCTCCTCTATCTGCACTAGTGGAACTCACAAGGGAGTAACGTGTGACGGCTTCTGCTCGGAGCCCGGACAACACGAATACCACACGGGCAGAGCCGGGGTGCAGCTTCTGCTGTTTATGGGATTCGGACAAAAATGAGTTTAAACCTAAAGACTTACAGACTGAGGAGAAGGAGAGCAAAGGGCTAGAAGATACAACTGAGCGAGAACGGAGTATGCAGCTGCGTGCCAGGCACCGGAGGCTCGGGGACCAGTGGGCAAGTACAGCCCTGCCCCGGACCTCAGGGGGGCGCTTCCTCCTTTCGAAGCACACACAGCAGGAAGCACAGGCACACTCTACTGTGATCGGAGCAGCAACGCAGGGGTACGGTACTGACAACTTAGTGTAGGCCAGTGTTTCTATGTCTTCTGCAAACCACCACAGTGCAGAGCTCAGGGGGAGCAGTGGGGGAGAAGGACGCGGTGGAAGAAGAAAAAGGAATTAGCTTCTCTTTATCTTCAAAATGCAACTCCTCATCAACTTGTTCTCTGGTAATGCTTCCTGCCAATCCTCTATCCCCAGCCAATTTCTCAAATAATATCACTATTTTGATGAAGTTCTATTTTTGCAAAGCTAACAACAACAAACTTATTGATACAAACAGAACAAATACAATCCCCAAACAGCAAACTAGAAAGAATCAATCATGAAGTTCCTTTCAGATATACACCACAGTCTATCCCATTCTGAATATTCTTTCTAAAATACACCTCATAGGGCGCCTGGGTGGCTCAGTTGGTTAAGCAACTGCCTTCGGCTCAGGTCATGATCCTGGA